GGGGTCATCGCTAGGAGGCCTTTGCTACTAGGTTGCAGGTCGTCGCTAGTAGGTTGGTGGTCATCGCTAGTAGGGGGTTATCGTTAGGAGGCCTTCGCTAGTAGGTTGGAGGTCGTCGCTAGTAGGTTGGTGGTCATCGCTAGTAGGTTGGGGGTCATCGCTAGTAGGTTGGGGGTCATCGCTACTAGGTTGGGGGTCATCGCTGTTAGTAGGTTGGTGGTCATCGCTAGGAGGCCTTTGCTAGTAGGTTGGAGGTCGTCGCTAGTAGGTTGGGGGTCATCGCTAGTAGGTTGGGGGTCATCGCTAGTAGATTGGGGGTCATCGCTAGGAGGCCTTTTGCTAGTAGGTTGGAGGTCGTCGCTGGTAGGTTGGTGGTCATCGCTAGTAGGTTGGAGGCCTTTGCTAGTAGGTTGGAGGTCGTCGCTAGTAGGTTAGAGTAGGTTGGAGGTTGTCGCTAGTAGGTTGGAGGTCGTCGCTAGTAGGTTCGAGGCGGTTAGTGTTGTTGGAATGTTAAAGGAGTCAGTGGTTGCGCCACGCCTTGGAGTCATCTTTGGGAGGCACTGCAGAGTAACCTGCTGGGGCCAGAAACTTGAACTCCTCCACAAAAGACGAGCATTCCACTTCTTGCATGCCTTAGGTTGAGCACGCTAAAGTGTGGACTGAGTGGAGTGGAACATTCGTCATGTAGCCTTCGCCCAGCGACAATAGACATCGGCGTCTACGCCACGAATCAATTCTTCCAGCTGCTGTTTTCGCCATGGCCAGGCTCTCAATGTGGAAGGAATGCTCGGATAGTACGGCTTCTGATCAAAGCCTGCCATCAAAATACAAATGAGCTGCACACCAAGAGAGTGCCAACGGTTGGTGCCCGAGTACCAACCCAACTTTCGCAGAAGCTATCGGTTGCTAAAATGTTGTCCATTTCATGAACATCCAAATACAAGAGTGCCACTCTAAGGCCTGAATAGGGCACAACTTGAATCCTGCCTTTCAAGAGCATATTGAAGGATACCACACTCATTTGCTGCGCAGAGCTCTTCAGTGGTCTCTGCATCAGCTTGGCTAGCATTTCCGCCTCTTTGCTAAGCGGCAAGGGCTTTGCGACTCCAGCATCGGCGATGGTGAAGCAGCTCACCAGGGGAAGACCCAGCACCACCAGATTGCGGGCATCCATGACTCATGATGACATGAATGCACCTACTTGGAAGATCTGTCCCTATTCATCGAGCTCGGACCCAAAAGCAAAGAAGTCCATAGATGTCTACTTAAGTCTTTCTCTTCTAGCTCGCCTTGTGTGAATCACACGTTGCGTCGAGTTGACTCATTGTCAGTCGGTGCTCGTAACTAAGTGTTTGGCGCTCCACCGGCAATGGAAAAAGTTGAACTCTGGAATTAGCACTGACCTCAAAGGTGCATCGATCTGTGCACATACTATATATATAGTTTCTTGTAATATATATATATATATGTTGTATTATATTGTAGTCATGTTGGGAGTAGAGTCGAGCTGCCAAGCATTGCCAAAGGATGAACTGAAGCCACAAGACATCGTGAGGGTTGGGCAAAAGTTTCGGGTATATCCGAACAGTGAAGCGGCGGTGGTCGTCCTGGCAGAAACAAATGTTCCATGAAAAAATGTGTTCGTCGGCGGATCTTGGCCTCCGCAAATTGACCACAGGCATATGCAAAAATGCCACATTTCCGGGAATGGCCGTGCCTCAACTGGTAGCACCGTCACATTAAACTCATTGCAGGTAAATTGTGATGAGTAGGTCCTACAATTATTGCATCGAATTCTTTGTGCAAGTGTCGCAGCACATGGAGCTCAGCATGCGGTTGAAAAAAGGAGTATTGCAAGAATACAAACTGCGTGAAACAACTTTTTGAAACAGTAGGTTCTGGACAAGTCCAGGTACATTGACAGCTTCGACTTGCTCTTGGAGACCTCCGCTCACACAATGACCGGAAACATGTCGCTCATAGACATAAACTGCAACGTTGAGCACTTCACCAGCTTCTTCAGCTTGTGAACCTTGAGAAGAAAACGACACACTGAATGAAGTGCGCCATAAGAAATTCCACCCAAAGGAAAGGGGTCATGATGTACGGGAAAAGCCAAGGCACAGCCACTAGTCAGGACCCCGCACGAAAGGTGAGTCTTTCGCAGCTCGGAGCATTCAAGGCAAATATACATATATATATAATATATATATATATAATATGTATATATATACGAGAGAACAAACCAATGACACTACTAGGGGCTCCTGGCATCACTACTAGGAACAATTACGCTACTAGGGGCTCCTGGCCTTACTGCTAGGAGCAAGAACGCTACTAGGGGCTCCTGGCCGTACACAGCGCATGGGAAAGCGACGATTTCGAAAGCCCTGATAGTCAACATAAGTTTCTTCATTTCTCAGTCGAACTCTTTGAGTCAGCAGTTCCAGGGTGACGGAGGGATTCAAGTTAAGGGTGCATCAAACGACAGTTATATACAGGATCAAAAGGCAAAACTACGCTTCGCACAACCCGAATGCGCTTTGGGGCAGTATTTGGTGGACTTCTAAGTGGAACTCAAGGATGAGATTGAATTCGTAGTAGGCGCAGCATTTTGAGGATGTCGCCACAGGTACAGCACTTGGACCACCGCAAATTGTCAACTTCATTCACGAAGCAACTATGGTCGCGACAATCACAACAGAACGTCAATACACGGCCAAAGATTCCATAACACCTCTTGGAAACATACCAAAATAAACTTAAACAGGAGCTTTCAGGCACGCCCTGGTTAGCATTGATTGCAAAAAGAATGTTTGAACTGTTTGAACCCTTGCTGCAACCTGTGAAGTAAATATAGCATCGAGAAAACTCATTTCTGTACAGGTTGAATCATGTCTCTCACCCAAGCCGTGGTCTCATGAGTCTAGTGGTTCTCTTCTAAACATGAACCCTTTGCTTGCTTTTCTAGACATTCAGTGTTTTTGGTCCTGCAAGTTGCTGACTTCGTTACAAGACCTTGCATCTTGCGGAATCGTGCAGTGTTCAATCTGAGAGCAGAGCTGAAGAATGAAGGACTTCGTGCGGCTGTTTCCACTGCCGGTTGAGGTCTGTGCCACAAAGGCCACATCGATAGTTGCCACCTCAGTCGGTCTGACGCCACATCTGTATCAACCTGTCAACAGGTGTCAAGGCCATTCTAGGCCTCTGGGGCTTAGGGCAAATGACCCCATCTGGGTTTAGCATTGGGACGCAAATCCACACCTCATTGCACTAAACAACAGAACAGCATGCTTGAGAACATAATTATATAAAGCTTGAAGGACTACGATCTTCCTGCATGTTTGCATCGTCCGAAGCATCGGCATGAATATGACGCGCAGTGTTGCTTGATGTTGCTTTTTGAATGCTTTTGCTTGTGTGAGGTCCAGACAAAGTTGTCCCGCAGTACCTTCAATCCAGACATTCCAAACGTGCTTTGCAAATGGTCGCTCTCGAACTACTTGCTCCTACCAAAAACCGCCAAATCGCCTGTGCTTCTGCCGTGGAGGACAAAAGAAAACCGATCAGTCCATGCACCAGCCAACTGGCATTGCCTAAGGCAATGATTCAATCCGATCCAGCTCCAAAAAGCCCTCCTCTTGCCGCTCCGCTCTGTTGTTTGCTCCACAAGGTACATCGACATGCACTACATGAACATGAACATTACATGAAACACTTAGAGTCTATACATTCAGTTGCCATGCTGCATTGGTGTGATTTCTTGCGTCCCACACTCGTCACTGTTCTGTAGGTTTGGCTTGGCTTCACACAGACTTGCGCTCGTAAACAAAACAACACAAAACTGTGGAGCAGTGCAGGACAAGGTGAACGAACACCTGGTTCTGGGATGTTCAGAATGAAGATATCTTGAGCTGCCCACTCTCGCCAGGATGAACCCGAGCACTGACAATGACCACCTTCCAGGTCCAATGTTCAATGCGTGTTGTTTCGCAAATCTTGAAGGAAAATCTGGTAGCGTTTGCCCATCTTTGGGCAGTCCTTCTTCGTCTTTCTGTCAATGCAGCTGTTCGTAATTGTCAGCATGTCGCAGCGGGCCTACAAACCAAATTGCTAAAAAGTGGCGCTTGACTGCTTGCACCAATCGTTGCGCTCATTGCACGCTTCTTCATTGCTGCAGCTCTGCATTTCAGGAAAGAAGAGACCCCGGTCAAAACGATCCCGTCACTTCAAGCCTCTTCAAACCACAGAAGACGCTTTGTGAACTATAGGTTTAGTCAGGCCCCCCATATTCACCACACTCAAGCGACTCAAGCGTCAGCGAGGGCAACTCACCACTCATTTCTATTTACCAGGGCAGTGTTCTCTGGGTTTGGTCAAGTCCTCCAACGTTCATCAATACGAGCTGAAATCTTTTCTGGCTGAGATAATTCTCACCCGTTTGGTGCCTGCGTTGTACAATGGACACAATGGTGTTGCAATCCACAGAAATCTATCCACAGGACACCACAGGCCCCTAAACTCTGAACGATGCTGAACTGGCGATCCAAGCTACACCCCACCAGCCCTAAACTTTGCAAGGAATAGAGAAGGCAAGGCAAGGGAAAGCAGAAACAAACAGTAGACAATGGAACGACAGATTGGAGAGAAGGAGAGGAGGAAGAGGACAGGAAACGGGATGACAGTCAGGAGAGTTTAAGATGATAAAGAAAAAAACAGTGGACAAATACGGCAAGAAGGACTTCGAAACTATTCCAAAACTCTCCTAGTCTCTATTTCCGTCCGATTGACCCCTAGTTCTATGTTGACGTTTACGGTCGGTCCTTCTCAGAGATCTTACATCTGCAAGTATGTTGCGTCTATGTTTGACCCCTTGCCGTCACAGGATCATCTTCGTCATAAACCAATGTCAGTACAGTACCCATGTCAATTCTGATGGACTCTGTCGATCAAAGCCAGAACAAAAACGCGCCTGGCCCACTGTCGCTGCTAAGCGTTTCAATTGGCAAAAAGATCTAGTGGCAGGATCTCTGACCAAATGATTCAATGTCCACCTCGGGTCACATGAATTCTCATGAGTTTTTCGGATGCTCCGCGGACATCGCCGCTGCGGCAGCTGAGATCCAAGAGAGCGACCGCAGCATCGAGTAAGTGTACGGTACCTCCCACAATCGATCAGTAAGTGTCATTAGCTTAAGGCCTAAGGATGTACAAAAAATATACACAACGCAGCTGGATCTCTTGACACTTGACAGATTCGTGCTGACTAACCAGTGCCCAGGTCGCATAGTATGCGAAGAAAACGCAATCATGCCCTCGCTCAAAGACGTAATCGAAGGACAGGGTGGAAATATTGCCTGCTTCGCATGTGCAAATGATTAGTTTCTGCCAATGCTCCAACTAGCAACCATAGCAATACAAGTGATGAGCACTTGGAGGCGGGCTGTCGCTTCCAGTCCTGGAAAGCCCAGCTCTTCCAGTGATGTTTTCGACCAACGAATCCGAACTGTCCTGTAGTATCGCACGTCCTGGCACTGCGAAAGAACACGTCCAAACGCAGGTGCATAATACATGCAGAATGCCCATCTGCCTTGCCCAGCAGAATGCTCATTTCGATTTTGATCGTCCAATTGCCACTATTTCCACCGGTCAAGACTTGGCCTCATAGTGGGATCTGCCACGACTAGGTGGAAATGCTGCTAGAGTTGGGTACAGTTGTTTCGCTGGGGAATGTGACTCACGCCGGGATGTCTATCGGGCTCTCCTCTCCGACTGGCTTCCAGAGCCCAGCAGCACCATCCCAAACAGAGTCCTCTGCACGACAAAAATAATCCAGCAGTAGTATCAAAGATTAGGTCCCATGAGTCAGCATGATTCCATCACCTGAAAATATGTCAGAACCATCTTTTCCTCTAAAACAAAAAATGAAAAACTGAAGCAGCATCTCTGACTGCTTTGCTGCATGATGTTCTTATGTGTTCCTTCACAAATACTAGTTTCTGAATCGTCCTTCTGGTTGTATGTATAATTCAATCGTTTTTTGTGCATGTGGCCAACGATTAATAGGTTTCCATGCTGGCAAAATATTGTAAATATGAAAAGTTATGCTGCATGCTCTGTTACATACTCAATCGGGAGAACCCCTCAAAGGACGGTCTGCCTCGAAGCACTTCTTGCTCGCAAACCTCACATCGAAGAGATTTATGATGCTACCGGTTGAGAGGATGGAA